TACATCTTTACTACTTGCTTTGGATCTGAGATTTCTCAGGAATGCTACCACATACTTGAGGCTTTTCTAGTGCTACAAGTACAACATGCCACCTTCATCTGGTGAGAACATGTTAAATCCTTTGATTCCTGATTCTCAAGAGGGTTCAGCTATTTCATTTTCTTTTTTAAAAAAAAAATGTTTTATCCCAGATTTTTTTTCTCGCATGTGATTTAAAGCTATAAGAACACTGAGGACTCGACAGAGTGAAAAGAAACTGAAACTTCTGGGCAGGATATAGGGTGTAACTACAGTATAAAGTCCTTCTATAGTCATCTCAAATGATCTAAGCCCCAGAGCTCACTGTAACAGCATTGCCAAAAAGGCATTAAGAATTGTTAACCTGATTTTGCAAAGCTTCTTCTCTGTTAACACTATATTGCTAACTATGGCATGCAAAAACTTTGCCAGATCAATTCTCGAATACAGCTCATCTGCCTGGAATCCACACCGTATATTAGACATTCATATGATTGAGCGGGTCCAGAGTTACATCACGAGAAGAGTACTAGAATAGAATCCTTTATGCCACCAGGCTTCAAATATTGGGCTTGAACAATCTGGAACTGCACCACCTGCGGTCTGATCTAAACATAGTACACAAAATTGTCTGTTACAATGTCTTAACTGTCAATGACTTCTTCAGCTTCAACCTCAATAATACATGGGCAAACAATAGATACAAACTAAAGGAAACCGCTTCAAACTCGATTGCAGAAAATATGTCTTCAGCAACCGAGTGGTCAATGCCTGGAATGCTTTATCCAACTCCATTGTTACCTCCTCAAACCAGTGGTGGGTTTCAAAAAATTTTACTATTGGTTCTGTGGGTGTGGCTTGGTGGGCGTGGCAGGGGAAGGATACTGTAAAATCTCCATTCCCTCCCCACTCCAGGGGAAGGTTACTGCAAAATCCCCATTTCCTCCTGATCAGCTGTGACTCGGGAGGCAGAGAATAGATGGGGGCGGGGCCAGTCAGAACTTTTACTAACGGTTCTCCGAACTACTCAAAATTTCTGCTACCAGTTCTCCAGAACTGGTTAGAACCTGCTGAAACCCACCTCTGCCTCAAACCCTCGCAGCTTCAACCTTAAACTGTCTATGGTTTCACCCCATTCCTAAGAGGTCTGTAAGGGGATGTGCATAAGCACATTAGAGTGCCTACCCTCCCTGTCCTACTGTCCCCATTTATTTGTATTCATTCCTTTGTTCATGTCCGTGTTCATACTGATACCTGCTATCTTGTACATGTTTGACAGACAAACAAACAAACAAACAAACAAACAAACAAATAATCCAGCTTCTAAAATGAAAGGCAAGGGAAATGCATCAATTGGGAAATTGGGATGTTAGCTAGCTTTTGTAAGAAAAGGAACATGTTTGTCTAACCGAGGGAGTTTGGTAGCACTTTATCTGGGATACTGAAGGAATGTAGCCTGCTAGAAATGAGAGATGCTGCAAAGGAGTAGAGTAAATTTTTACCTAGCACCAAGACACCAGAGGACATCTGCAAGAAGAAAAGCTGCCTTTATACTTAAGATTGATGGGGAGGAGCAGACATCCAACACTACTCAGAAAAACCAAAAATATTTCCCGAAAAGGGTGAAAATTATGCTACAGACAAGAAAAGGGATAATATCTTTCTCAACAAGGGTAGAGGCTAAAGGACTTTTCAGAATGTTTAGGATAAAGAGAAGCCAGAAAGACAATGGAAATAATTCCTTATGTATATAATTAGTAATCATTTTGATTATAATAGTAACATCTAAGGTAGTTTAAACTCAAAAGAAGATAGAGAGGAGTGAAAAGTATAATTAAAAAGAAAAAATAAGAAAAAATAAGAATATAATAAAAATATATTAAAAATGACTTCTAATTATCACAACTATATATAAATTTAGCTAACTCTTCAATGTTTCTCAGGTCAGAAACATTTATCTCTTCTTCCCATTTTCCGTCTCTTATATATATAAACAAATCCATGAACCATGTTTTTTTTTTTTTCAGTCCTGGTGTCAACAGAAAATCCAAAAAGGGTAGGAACAGCATATCTTTTTTAACCTTGATCATTTAAACCAACTTCATATTCCTTCCATTGACTTCTATTCTTTAGTTCATTCAAATATAGGCGCTCCTGTCCTCTGGAATGAGTTACCCACCGAGCTTCGGATGGCGCCTGATCTCCGCTCCTTCCATTGGGACTTAAAGACTTGGCTGTTTCAACAAATGGGTTGACCCTGATCCTTGGGTTTTATTATTTTATTGTCATTGTTTTAACTGGGTTTTAATTACATTACCTTTTATTATTGTATGTTTTAACCTGTGTTCGCCGCCCTGAGTCCTTAGGGAGAAGGGCGGCATATAAATTTTTGGAAATAAATAAATATTGACTTAAGATTTGATTTCTGCTCATTTTTTCCCATCAAAGTTTTTCCAGGCTTTAATGAGATTCTTTTGAACATCAAATGGGAAAAAAATATCTAGATTAATCCCTTGGTTTATTATTTGTATTTGCTTTTTAAATTTTACAACATTTTCTAGATCCAGTGAAACTTTTTTTTTTTTTTTAGTCATTCTCTTGGCCTGTTAGCTGTAAATCCACTTTCGATAGCATCGCCACCTTGTCAGAAAAAAATTGTTTTACACATGATATTTCTTCAATAATATCTTTTGGACATAGTCTATCCATAGAAGCTGATATCATTACTGACATTGATATCATGGCTACTATTTTCTAACTTCATCCTTTAAAAGCCTCTTTCAGTATTGCAGCCCGGTGTATCTTTCCTCTACTGAGAATTTTTAGTCTCTCCTATTGTCCAGTGTTTGAAATCATGAAATTATTAATCTGAGTTATATCTTGTAAAAAATAAAACAGCTCTATTACCCGTGAGAAGCTATTTTTACTTAATTCCAAAACTGTATTGTAAACGTTTGTTTTTTAATAATTTTATTGATGTTTTCATAAACATAGTGAAAAACCAGAAACTAAACCAGAAGAAAAAAGAAAAAGAAAAGTCAACAAACACAATAATAAAGAAATGGCTTCCAACATCCATCACAATGAGCATAAGCTGAATAGCCATTCGTTTAGCCACCATTCAAAGTTACAACAATCCTGAAAAATGTGCTTTATAACCAATCCTCATAGTTATAACCATCACAGCATCTCCCTGGTCACATGATCAAAATTTGGGTGCTTGGCAACTAGCATGTACTTCTGATTATTGCAACTTCCCAGGGTCATGTGTTCGCCCATTTGCAACCTTTCCGATTGGTTTCTGACAAGCAAAGTCAATGAGGGGAGCTGGATTCACTTAACAATTTAAGGGATTTGCTTTACAAAAGGTTGTAAAATCAACCTCCTTGCTTAGCAATGGAACTTCTGGTTCTAATTCTGGTTGCAAGTCTCAATTCTGGTTGTAAGTCAAAGATTACATGTACTAAATTTTCAAGTTCTTTTAAAGTTAAAAATAGAAAACACTCTTCTGCCCAGAACCTAACTGTGATCTAATTTTTATCTGTGCCAGCTTTTACTGTTTGTGGTATTAATCTATTTATGTATTCTGTTATTTTATTATTGATATTGTTTTAATTGCTGATTAGCAGCTGCCCACAGTTCCATTCAAGATGGGCAGCTACATAAATATTTGAAATGGATAAAATAAATAGAATCTATATACATCATCATCATACTTTCCATCTTAGTTCACCAAAAGGTACATTACGAATTACAGAAATATCAAACGAATATTTCATTGCTGGTCAAATAGTCCAACTTTATATTCCTTCTTTTTGCTTTGACCTGTAAATCTTTCCTGTGGCACTGCATGATTTAATTTTTCATTGTTCTTTGGAATTTAAAAAGGAGCCTTCAAATCTTTTAGCAACCTACTTTTTAAATCTCATAAAGAGGCACCATCCAGGTTTTCTTGCCCAAGCTGTTTCAAGTCCAAATCCTTTTCTTCCCATAAATAATAAACATCCTTAGGCATCATGAGACATACAGGTAATGAGCAGCCTTAGGCAATTAGGTAGAAGTTTTTGTTTTCCTGGATTCTATCTTTTGCTTCCCTGAGTCAGCCAATTTAAAACTTAAACTTGATATAGATTTTAACCTAAGGGTATTCAAAATGTCTTAGAAAATTTGTTCAGCTTAGCTCTTACATCATCATGTATAATCACATAAATTGTTACATTCACCAACTTACTTGTACTTTACTATATTCTGTTAAACTTTATGCAGTATCTGTTCAGTATTCAAGGTCTCCTGGACAATGAACTTAACAGGTAAGCATTAGACTTTTACAACTGAATTTAATTTTCTTACAGTGACATAACTGATCAAGAATTCTAGCTGGGCATTATGGAGTTTGAGTCTTTTAAAGGGTCAGGTTTCAGAATGATAATTATCCAATGCTTCCAAAAAATAGGACAGCTGAAATACCTCTCCCTGTTTTTCTACAATATAAATGTATGTGTGAATTGAAGTATGTGATTTGTTTTCCTCATTCTCATGTACCTCATTTTCATTTTCAGTACATGAGAATGAGGAAAACATATCACATACTTCAATCCATACATACATTTATATTGCAGGAAAACAGGTTTTATAGTTATCAACAAAACCTTCTTTGCCTTTTTCTTTGCCTTTTAAAAAAGATTTGTTTTAATAATATTTTCTTAAATGACTTTAAATTATTTTTGGACTGTAAATAAGTTTTTTTTAAAGAATAGATTGTTTTTATTAGTATAATTTCTGTATTGAGAATGGTCAACCATTCTCAGAGCATAAATCTAGGAAATGCCAACTAATAAATGTTGCCAAATTGTTTTAGTTGTGAAGACAATACAGCCAGGCCTTTGGGAAATATATTCTAATACCTGTCAAAAAAGATTCCTGAAGATTTTTAGACATTCAAATTGTAATCTTAAAACATAATTATTTTACCCACAGGTGGGATGTGGGTGTTTCTGGCATTGGCATGCTTAATCCAGCAGACTACAAATTCAGAATATTCTTTCAATAGAAGACATTTGAATCCTGAAGGATTCATGACGATTGTAAGTTGTATACATGAAACAATTTTTTTTTTTTTTGTGATTGTGTTCATTGCTTCTGTCCTTGGCATGCCAAGACCATCTTAAGTCTTTGTTGTGGCCTGCCGGCGGCCAGCGGAGTTGGCAGCAGAGTCAGACAGTGAGGAGGTTGGGGAGGAACATAGGCCAGTCCTGGGGGCTGGGGAAAGCTCAGACGAGGGCTCTGCATCGGAGGCAGAGAGGGAGATAGACAGCAGCAAGGCAGAGGAACACCTGGAACCCGTTCCCAGTGTGTATATGCACAGAGCTGCCAGAAGACAAGAACAACTCAGAAAGCAGGGTCAACTTGGGAGTAAAGCCACACCTTGGAGATGATTGGCCCCTCCCATAGGAAACAAAAGAAGAGTGAATTGGGAGGGGGCTTTTTCAGGAAACAATTTGTTCGTTCGGTAGTTGCAAGAGTGAAAAGTTCAGTTTGTGACTCTAAGAGACTCTGTGCCAAGTTTTGTATTACTCTGCATTTGGAAACAAGTTACATGGCAGCTTGCCAAATGAGATAATGTATGTGATAAATATTCCTTTGAAAAACTGTTTGGACAAACCTTGCTGACTGTGAATGAAAGTAATTCACAGTCATGTAAATAAAAGAGGTTTTGCTGGGATCAATTCCTGCTTCCTGCTTTTTAAAGGGAGCCTAGGTCTCTAAAGTATCTATGGAGATTCTGAATACTCCAGGTCATGGTTGTCCCAAAAGTTCTTTTTCAAAAAAGGCAACTGGACTGTCATGTTGTTGTTTTTTTTCTTATGAGAAATGAGAAACAAAATGTTTCAAAGAAAAAGTTAAGAAAGTCTCATTGCCTTTTGGAAAAAGCACCTTTGAGACAACTTCTGAAGTAAAAATCTATTTGTTCTGAAGCTCCACCATTTATGTTGACATTATTTTATTATAATATGACAGAACCAGAACATGTTCTATTCTGTTGCCCAGTAGAGATAACAGTACATCATTACAAGGAGTAACTCATTGAGCAGAGCTGCCAACTCGTGAAGCTTTCCTGATCTGCTCCTGAGTTGCCATAGGCAAGGGGATGGGAAATCGCACCTCGCAGCTGTACCGAAAAATTCACACCTCAGTCAAAACAAAACACATCCTAGCCAGTGAACTCAAGGTCATCTCCACGGAGACCTGCAATGGCCAGAGGGAGTGACTTCTACGACCCGTGAAATTGATTTGTTGGGGAATGTGACTGGTGACACACCTTGGGGGGGGGAGGGGGCAACAGGGTCAGAGTCAAAGTGCGAACTGGGTGAAGTCAGAGCTGGTTTCACTTAGGTCATGTCAACATGGCGCTACTAATAAACAATTGGATTTTTCTTCCAAAATCAGGAGCCTCAAGCTTACAAAAAGCTTGAGGCTCCTGATTTTATTAGGGCATTGGTTAGAACCCTGACATCAAGCCAGCTTTACCAAAACTAACCAAAAACAACCAGGATTCCTGAGCCCTGGACATTTGCTCTCTGATACCTGGGGTGCATGGAGAGAAACACAGGCCACTATGACAAGAGCACTCATTCCACCCATCATTCTCAGGATGAATCATTGGCTTATCACACAAATTTTAGCAGCAAATCAACAAAAGATCTGCTACTACACCCATGAAATGTCAGCTAATTGTACTATATTTTAATTGGTTTGTTTGTGATATAACATGCAGTTCAGGCATAGCTTTTAACTGTTCCGTATTTATAATTTCTGCATGTTCCATCTGGATTAATTTTCCAGGACTGCTAACTCACTACATCTGAAGATAAACCCACAAAGATATATGGAGCAGAAGTCTATTCAACTTACTGAAAATAGCTGTTCACATTAATTATTGAGTAAGAATCTATTTCATTTACAGCCTAAAATCATCCAATATTGGGGGTATCCCAGTGAAGAGTATCAAGTTCTGACTGATGATGGCTATTATCTTCAGTTAAATAGAATTCCTTGTGGAAAACACTGTCCCCAGCATGAAGGTAAGTCTGAAATGTGGCATTTCCACACTTGGATTACATATATATTCAAGTGGTCATGAAAAACTCACTCTGCCTTTGGGGCAGTGGTGGGTTGCCCCTGATTTGGATCAGTTCACAAGAACCATTAGTAAAACCAGTGGGAGGCCCCGCCCACCACCCCGGATGTCATCACCAGCGATCTGCGCATACGCAGAAGCAAGGCACATATGTGAGTGAAGCAAGCGCGCGAGCGATCCCATTGTGAACCAGTAGTAAAGGTAAGTAGAACCCACCCCTGCTTTGGGGGCAGGGGAAGAGTACAAAGCTGCTTCTGTTTTCAACTTCGGAAAAGAGCTTCTTTTTAAGCTGTAGATACTTGGCTTGAATATTATATTACCATTCTACAATGTGCAGGTGTTAGCGGTATATTATGATGGGTGGTTCATTCCAAGATTCCTTTGAACTTGTGGAATCAAAGAAATGATAGGTTTCCCTGTAGTGAGAGCTTTGCCTCTGGTGATCTGGATCCAGGCCCCTTCTGGCTCCTACAGGTGGAGCACGTGTGGCTGGATTCAGGAGATAGTTAAGGTTTCTCTGAGGGAAAATTATGCCATTTGCCTTGTCATGAAAGAAACATGGTGGCCTCTCTTTTAAAGGGAACAATCCTTATTCCAGCTTTCTTGAGAACTTTCACTTAATCTCCAACCTTAGAAAAAGTTGTTAAGAAAATGTTCCCATTATAAAGGATTCCAGGGGAAGTAACATCTTCACTACTTTTAATCTTGGTCATGGGACAGAAACTGCTCTGCTCATTCTAATGGAGATGGTAGTAATGCATCTCTCCTGATTCTGTTAGACTCCTTGGTAGCATTCAAACTCAATCCCATCGTGGGCCATATCAAGATTTTTTGCCCTTGGGGGCTAGTGTGGGTGTGGCCTGACTGGCTGACTGGCTGGGTGGGGCTGGGACGGCATGGGCTGGTCCCTCACGATCTCTTGGATGGGACAACTCTGGGCCTATCCTCCCATGGACCATATGATTGATACCTCTGAACTATGGTATATTCCTAAACTAGCATCAAGAGCTGAAAGTAATGCTTTTAAAAGGCTCTGACGATCAGGCAACTCAGCTGGGATCCTCGGAGCCTTTTAAAAGCATTAGGTAAAGGTAAAGATTCCCCCGCACATGCGTGCTAGTCATTTCTGGCTCTAGGGGCAGTGCTCATCTCTAAGCCAAAAAAATAGCGCTGTCCAAAGATGTCTCCATGGTCATGTGGCTGGCATGACTCAATGCCGAAGGTGCACACAACGCTGTTACCTTCCCACCAAAGTGGTCCCTATTTTTCTACTTGCATTTTTTACGTGCTTTCGAACTACTAGGTTGGCAGAAGCTGGGACAAGTAGCGGGAGCTCACCCCGTTATGTGGTACTAGGGATTCGAACCGCTGAACTGCTGACCTTCTGATCAACAAGCTTAGCATCTTAGCCACTGAACCACCGCATCCTTGTAGTAAACATTACTACATGGTTATTCATAAATAACTCCCACCTGCGTGAGTAGTCCCTATTGGTAATCATGAAGGGAGAGCAGTCAAGCCTTGATTGATTGCTCCAGTAGGGAATATTGAATATTAAAAGAGTTAGTGAAGTTTTGAATTGGTACTGGAGGCTGCAAGGGACTAGATAGCAATAGCAATAGCACTTAAACTTATATACCACTTCATAGTGCTTTTACAGCCCTCTCTAAGTGGTTTACAGAGTCAACATATTGCCCCCAACAATTTGTCCTCATTTTACTCACCTCGGAAGGATGGAAGGCTAAGTCAACCTTGGGACAAAACAAGCTCAGATAAAATCCTACTGACAATTAGAATTGCTACTTTATGGGGATCCATTAACTTTGATCCTGACACTTGGTCTTGATGGGGTCAGGCTCACCCCAAAGAGCTGGTCCATGACTTGTGCCTCTTCCTAGTTCTACTTCACATTGATAGAAAGAAAAGCCAGCTGTGAGTCACATCCAAGAGTGCTCTTCCAGCAGTAATCACCAGAGAAATTACAGCGCTCCATGGACCAGGAAACCTTTTTGACAGGAGCAATGTGCACCTGACAAACTGAATATGTGCACTGAGGGAGCTCAACCAATCTCATTGTATGTATGTTGACAATAAAGATTTGAAATTTGAAATCTGCTATATGGTGTACATTGGGTTGCCTCTGAGGACAGCTTGGAAGCTTCAGTTGGAGCACAATATGATAGCCAGACTGCTACTGTAAAGATGATACTGATGATAAGGTGGGTGCACAAGTTACCAGAATGATTTTGGCTCCAGGAATGATTTTAGGGAGTTACATAAGTAATGTATAGCTCTATCGATCCTCTTATGTTATTATATATTTAATATGCTCAATTGTTATGCAATTTTATTGCTGGTTTTATTTATTTATTTATTTATTTATTTATTTATTTATTTATTTATTTATTTATTTATTTATTTATTGCCTAAGTTGTTTTAGTTGGTCAGTTTACAGATATTCTGAAAGAAATATCAGTGGTAGATTAGTGTATCACAATTAAGGTTTTGCAGATATCTGGATTTGAAGGGCAAACTGTGGCTGACAGTGTGTGTGGCACAGGGGTAGGTTCTACTTACGTTTACTACCAGTTCGCAACGGGGCCACGGGCGTGCTCTTCTGTGCATGCGTAGAAGCATTTTGGTGACGTCGGGATTGATGGGCGGGGCCTCCCGCCAGTTTTACTACCAGTTCTATAGAACTGGTGCGAACCTGGGGCAACCTACCACTGGTGTGGCAATATATGTAGCGCCTATTCAGAATACATTACACCAGCTGCATCTTTTCCGAGGTTCTTGTGGCTCTCTGGGCAGATCACCCATAATCCTGCAAACAGAAGCATTTGGTTTATGGGGCCCTCAACAAATGAGCAAGGGTCCAAGTTATATTTTGACCTTTTCATCCAGGTCTCTACAAAACCGTAAGGTAAGTATTTTATTTATTATTTATTTATTTATTAGATTTTTATACCGCCCCCCTCCCGAAGGACTCGGGGTGGTGAACAGCCAAAATTAAAAAACATACAATATAAACAATTAAAATGCGTTTAAAACAGAATTAAATCCAAAATGGCTCCCCAATTTAAAACGCCTTACCCATACCCCTATAAATAAGACGAATTTAAAATATAAAAATTTAAAATTTCCACATTTAAAAAGGGGGAAGATTTAGGCCAGGCCAGCTTGATAAAATAGAAAAGTCTTAAGCGCGCGGCGGAAGGTGCGCAGATCCGGGATCCTACGTATCTCCGGGGGGAGCTCGTTCCAAATCGTAGGTGCCCCCACAGAGAAGGCTCTCCCCCCTAGGGGCCGACAGCCGACATTGTTTGGCCGACGGCACCCGGAGGAGCCCCTCTCTATGGGAGCATACTGGCCGGTGGGAGGCTATTGGTGGTAGCAGGCGGTCCCGTAAATAACCAGGTCCTAAGCCATGGAGCGCTTTAAAGGTGATAACCAGAACCTTGAAGCGCACTCGGAAGACCACCGGGAGCCAGTGCAGCTCGCGCAGGAAAGGTGTTACATGGGAACTCCATGTTGCTCCCATCACCACCCGCGCGGCCGCACTCTGCGCCAGTTGGAGCCTCCGAGTGCACCTCAAGGGGAGCCCCATGTAGAGAGCATTGCAGTAGTCCAAACGAGAAGTAACGAGGGCATGAGTGACTGTGTGTAGGGAGTCCCGATCTAGATAGGGACGCAACTGGCGGATCAGGCGAACCTGATGGAAAATCCTCCCGGACACGGCCGTCACATGTTCTTCTAACGACAGCCGTGAATCCAGGAGGACACCCAGGTTGCGAGCCCTATCCGTGGGGCCAATGATTCGCCCCCAATAGTCAGCGATGGCACTAGCTGACTATATCGGGACGTCGGAAACCACAGCCACTCGGTCTTGGATGGGTTGAGCCTGAGCCTGTTCCTCCCCATCCAGATCCGTACGGCCTCCAGGCACTGGGACATCACTTCAAGGGCATCGTTGGGGTGGTCCGGTATGATGCTGTAAAGGCATTTAAACAAGGCAGAATATATTTCCTTGAATAATACACTTTTTCTAGAGGAGTGTTGTACTTATAGATAGCATACAATCAATCATGTATTCTTGGATTCCTTTGCAGGGCCCAGACCAATTGTTTTATTGACACATGGCTTTATGTGGGAAGGGAGATGTTGGATCGCAAATCTTCCTAGCAACAGCCTGGGATTTTTCCTAGCAGATGCTGGCTATGATGTCTGGATAATAAATTTTAGAGGGACCACTTGGTCTAGAAGACACAAGGAGTTTTCCATTGAGCAGCAAGAATTCTGGAATTTCAGGTAAATTTCAAGGAAAATTGATAATGAAAATATTTGGTCAATTCTACAAATTTATTGTTTTAGAGTGAATGTAAATTAAGAATAAACATTTGCATATTATATTAGCCAAGTTTAAAATGGATACAATAATTACATTTATTCAAAAATGTCACAAAATAGAAACACATAAAAATAACATGTTATTTGGTTTAACCATGATATATTTTTATTCCAGTTTTCTTCATTAAAAAGCTTTTTGGTTGCCTTGGCAAAAATTCTGTATAAATTTTGAAGGCAGAAAGTAGGGAGAAAAAAAGATATGTAAATTTCAATTTGTTTATTTCTCATGGGTTACTGAAGCTTCTGAATATAAATTTAAGGTTAGAAGAAGAACTTTGATAATCAAGATATCTAGGATATGGAAAAAATATTACACATATTCCTTATATATGGCCATCTTATGATATTACTAAATAATGTTCTGGTATTCCTTCTGTAATGAATCATATACTACACAAAAAAGTAGGCTTAAAGTCAAAAATAGGTGTCACTGAACAACATGGAAAGGTCGATTTAGGAAACAGGAATGGGCAAAAGGAATATTTATTTGTTTAGTAAGAATCAAATAGGTCTGTTAGTTCTCATGTTGTGAATCTTTGAACTGTAAGTGACAGGTTCCCATGAAGGAAATCTTAAGGAAAGCTAAAAATGTAGTGATGCACTTAAACTTATTTACCACACAAGATGTGGGTTCAGTCCGGATCTTGCAAACTGATAGTAACGGCAACGGGAGACTCTGCTCACCCACCCAAACGTCATCACGGACGCTCTGCATATGCACAGAAGCTTCTGCGCATGCACAGAAGTGCCGCATGTGAGCGAAGCGAGCGCACACGCGCGCATGCTCCCATTGCGAACTGGTAGCAAAGGTAAGTGGAACCTACCCCTATACCACACTCTTTACAGCACTCTTTCAGCAGTTTATAATGTCAGCATATTACTCCCAACTACTCTGGGTCCTCATTTTACTGACCTCAGGAGTCAACTTTGAGCCTGCTAGGATCGAACTCCCGGCTGTGGCAGAGTTAGTCCAAAGTACTACATTCTAACCTCTGTGCCACCAGGGCTTCTACCGTTTGCCTTATTGGATTGAACCAGGAAATTGATAAGTTCCCTCTGTGAATATATTAAAAACTACATTATCCAATCAGTTGATTCTAGTGGATGATGATTGGGGACAATAGATCTCACCCTCAGCCCCTACTATGTGGTGATCTGACTGGCCCCACCCCCATCTATTTTCTGCCTCCCAAGTCCCAGCTGATCAGGAGGAAATGGTGATTTTGCAGTATCCTTCCCCTGGAGTGGGGTGGGAATGGAGATTTTACAGTATCCTTCCCCTGCCATGCCCACCAAGCCACACCCACAGAACCGGTAGTAAAAAAATTTGAAACCCACCACTGCATAGCACAGTATAGTACACCATAATATAAATAATACAATAAAGTGGAATAATATAAATCCTTTAAGAGCCTTCAACCAGGGCCCAACTAAACCACTATTACCAATACCAGATAGACATTGTTCTGAACAAATCTACTTTGAATTATTAATTTGTTAAATGGGAACAATTACAGCATGTGTATGGTCGAGGCCTTGATCAGGTACCTTGACGTTAAGGTCCAGGGATAGTAAGAAGCAAATAAAGTTACAGTTGTGTATTTTTATGTATTTTTGTGTTACAGTTTTCATGAAATGGCAATTTATGATATACCAGCAACAATAAATTTCATTCTACAGAAAACAAAACAAGACTCTTTATATTATGTTGGCCATTCCCAAGGAGCAGGAATAGGTAAGTTAAGAATATAGTCTTGGCATCGCTTTTTTCTGTTTTTCTCCGTTTACCAAAGAAAGATCCAACACTTCTTTTTCAATTGGATTGAACAACTGCAAGAAAATATCTATGTAAATTTTTTTGTTTTTCTTCACATCAATTTATCCCCAGCATTCTTTGTCTCTGCTATGAAGCCTTCAAAATCTATCCTGATTAAGGGCTATTGAGAGATATTCTTAGGACCCGGTTATTTACGAGACCACCTTCTGCCACTGATAACCTCCCACCGGCCAATACGCTCCCACAGAGAGGGCCTCCTCAGGGTGCCGTCGGTCAGGCAATGTCGGCTGGTGACCCCCCGGGGAAGAGCCTTCTCTGTGGGGGCACCCGCCCTCTGGAATGAGCTACCCCCAGGGATACGACTGATCCCGGACCTCCGGACCTTCCGCCGGGTCCTGAAGACTTTTTTATTTCAGCAAGCCGGGCTGGGTTAAAAATCTTTTAATTGGGGAATTTTATGAGTAAGGGTGTTTAAATTGGGGAAGCCAAAGATAAATTTAATTTCGTTTTATAGTATTTTAATGTTTGTATTGTGTGTTTTTAATTTTGGCTGTTCACCGCCCCGAGTCCTTCGGGAGAGGGGGCGGTATAAAATTTTTTTAAAAAAATAAAATAAAATAAAGATGGCTGTCAAGAATTTATAAATGCAATTTCAGCCAATACAGAGTAGCCCTTGGAAATGCACTAAAGCACCTTACTCAGGTTGGGTCACTTTGCTTCTTCTGAGATCAATCGGCTTCAAATGTCTGCTTTACTTTCTGAACATTTGCTGGTGCCAATTGTGGCAAGCCGCCACATATTTAGTTAGCTGCCAAGTGATACCAAAGTATCACTTTTGGGATTTTCAATTTACAGTATTATAACTTGCTGGCAAGTCTTTCACCAGCAGAGGGGGCATTAAGATGGCTCCTTGCAGAGCATTTATCTAGTTCCTTTGCCTCTTTTTCTCCTCATAATTTTTTTCACTCTTGAAACTTGTTATGGCCTTGGCTTTTTTCACATTCTCGTTCCTAGATCACTACTATTTTTAATTCTTCTGCTCCCTAAGGTATGGAGCTTTTCAGACAGTGGTGGTTAAGTTGGAAAACAGTTCCAAAATACTTTTCTTCAGTGGTGAAATGTAAGATTTGTTACTACTGGTTCTGTGGGTGTGGCTTGGGGGGGGGGGTAATGTGACTGGGTGGGGGTGGCCAACTTTTTTTTTTTTTTTTTACTTTTAAAAGCATTTTTTCTACAACCTCAAAGAGGTTGTAATAAAATGCTTTTAAAAGGCTCTGATGATCACGCGGCTCAGCTGGGATCGTCAGAGCCTTTTAAAAGCATTTTTTCTACAACCTCTTCAGCCGAAGAAGTTTAGAAAAAATGCTTTTAAAAGGCTCTGACGATCCCAGCTGAGCCGCGTGATCATCAGAGGCTTTTTTTTTTTTACTTTTAAAAGATTTTTTTCGGCTGAAGAAAAAATGCTTTTAGAAGTAAAAAAAAGAAGCCTCTGATGATCGCGCAGCTCAGCTGGCATGGGGAGGGGCAGGGATTTTTGCTACCGGTTCTCTGAACCACCCGCTACCATCGCTACCGGATCGGGTGATCCAGTCCAAACTGGGAACATTTCACCCCTGCTTTTCTTGTAATAAGTGGTGCTCTTCTCAAAATATGAATGTTCTCCCTTAGATTAAAAAAGAAGGTAGTATCATAATATTGCTCCCCAAATTAATTTATATTTAGACTTCTTATTTGTGGGACTCTTGATGATTTTCTTGTAGACGTTTCATTACCGAATCAGATAACATCAGCAGCACAATTTCTATCAAGGCTTCTTATTTAGAAGTTGAATATCCATTAGAATCTTTGCATCCAGTATAACCTACTTCTAAAAAAAAATCTTGCTGAGTTGTGAGCTGACAGAAATATTCTAAGAATTAACTGTTTCCAGCATGGACAACTATTTTCTGACATTAATTAACAGATATTTACTCCAACTAGAGGAAAAAATTTGCTTTCAGTCCTTGAAGCAAAATCTCTTGAGACATTATTGAGAACTGAAGATGGCACCAATATTGTACCCTAATAAAGGAATCAAATGGATCTTTATCAGGACAAATATGCTGCCTAGATTAGATATGAAGTAGTCACGCAGGTGACAGAGTAACTAGATCAACTTTAGTCACCATCAACTGTTACACCTCCTATGTTGGTAGTTTCTTTGGTTCCTGCAATCTCTCTCCTTTTCTTACCAAGTCCTTTACCAGATAGGTATGATAAGATTCCAGAGTTTAGGGCTAAAGTAAACAGTAGATGGACAAATAATAAGGAAAGTGCTAAAATAGCATTGTATGCTGCTCATCTATAGATATGACTAGAAATATAAAAATTGTGGGGTTTAATTTTTGGTGTCTGTGTATGTATGTGGGGCGGGGAAAGATTTTCTCAAAAAGGGGGATAAGATTCAGACCATCACTAAAAGTACATAGAGGAATCATGCAATCCTGCCATTTTAATCCTTTCTGCAGGTTTTGTGGCTTTTGCGAGCCTGCCCTGCCTCACTGATAGAGTGAAGCTCTTTATAAGCCTTACACCTACTTACTCCTTGAAAGGTATTACTGGGACGCTTGGTGTACTTGGAAGAATTCCAGACAGAGTCAAAGAAGTAGGTATTTACCTATTCAGTTGTTCTACCCGTATGCTCTAAACATAGCTATAGGGGGCCAATGCATGATTTTAACACCGAAAACTTGTATGTCTAGAATGAATTCGAATCAGAATCAGAATCAGAATTCGAATCAGAATCAGAATCAGAGAGTGGGCGTGGGTGAGGTAGGATGGGATGGGATGGGATGGGATGGGATGGGATGGGATGGAATAGAATAGAATAGAATAGAATAGAATAGAATAGAATAGAATAGAATAGAATAGAATAATAACTTTATTGTGACTTTGAATGTACACTAATCAACATACATCAAATGAAATTTCATTGCACACAACTTTCAAAGGGTCACCACCTCCAATGTACACTATATAAACTTGACTAAATAAGTAAATACAAAATTATGTACCCACATATATTCTAGGACACAGAGAAATGTCTGTACTTATTGAGGTACGTTTGTTGCCAAAGTTTTAAAGATTAAAATTGAAAGAAAATCAGAAACAAGATTTTTAGTAGTCTATAGGGGCTATCCTTGAAGAAAATTTGAAAGCTATACTTGGTGTAGAATGCAGCAACGCAAAATTCTGAAGGCCTCTATGGTGGCACATGTGGTAACACCACTATTTCCCAAACTGCCTTGGTTGCTGGTTTGAGAGTCTAATTCAAGCTATTAATTATCACCTTGAAACAGGGGTGGACTTCAAAAATTTTAGCAAGGGGTTCTCAGCCCGGTTGCTGGGTGGGCATGGCCATGGTGGGCGTGGCCTAATTGGCATCCTGCACCACAGCGTGGGGCATTTTTGCCCTCCCCGGCCTCCCTGGGCTCGGGAGGCCCTCAGGAGGCCTTCCCAAACTTCTGGTAGGCCATTTTTCACCCTCCCTGACACGCATGCCCTGCACTTATCTGCATCCAAAACAGGCTTTGTGGGGACTCCTGGGAGGGGTGGGGTGGAGTGGGATTTGGGGATTCTCTGAACTTCATAGAATCTTAGCTAGAGGTTCTCCCGAACCCCTACGAACCCCCAGCAGCCTTGAAAGCCCTTCATGGTGTGGAGCCAGAAACTGTCCCACCATCTCAGGTTGCCAGGATGATCATATTCCATTTAATGTGTACAAGACAGTTAGCAGACACTCTAGCATTCCAAAGGACAGGGAACATGTCAGGAGATAAAGGCAAAGGTGTGAAATGGAGTAGTGTTGCCTGTTTCCAATTGGTAAGCATAGTTGCAGCCACACAATTTTCCACTTACTGGCTATTTTACTTAACAGTGGAGTTGCCTGTCCCAATTAGGGTCATTAAGTGAGAACTACCTGCACATAATTTTGAGTGGCTTACAATTGAAACAGAATGAAATGAAAAAAAGCAAGCAGAATTAAAAATACAACAGAAACATTTTTTTTCCTTCCTGTTTAGAAATCGTTTTTTCCAATTGTGTTGCAATGGAGGGCAGAATTGTTCTGATTGAAATCTATAAAATTTCCAAATGTGAATCTATAGAGATGTGTGAAAAAGATCAGATGGGGGAAATCTAGAGAAGGATTTCCAACAATAAATTTAATACGGGGAAAGTAAAATTGATGCTGAAAAGGAGGAAGATGCTTGGAATTAGAATATTGATGGGTCATTTTTATTTTGCAGCTTATATGGGGCACTAAAGAATTTTCCATTTTAAGTGAAAGAGTAAAAATCAGCATGATCCATGCATGCAGCTATCCAGGGATTGACCGACTGTGCCTAAACAACATTTTCCTTGCAGGAGGGTTTAACAAGAAAAATCTAAATGTAGTAAGTAAGCTCTATTTTTATTTATACTTTCTACAAAAAAGGTACTTTTAGCCAAATGAAGAATACCAGATCAGGAAACCACAGCCCACTGGAAGATTAGAATTATACTTTAAACTATGTGGACTTGAACTCCCAGAATTCAAAAATTGAAACAGATTGTTTTAGCAGAATTTTAGAAGTCGTCCTGTGTTTTACCTAGCCTGAATCTGTCCCACTCCCTGATTCATCCAGCTTGACTCTTAACTTGGGGCCCCCTCTGAGAAAACCTTGTGTTGCCTCAATGGGCACAAAATGACACACTAAGCAAAGATGGAGGAAAAACCAATTCTTAAAAACCTGCCCTGTGTTTGTGTCTACAATAACAAAATTGTGTAAATGTTTAGAGGGATGATTTATTGAGAAATGTAGACCAAAACTTATAGTGTTGATTGAAGGGAAGCAATGAGATAAAAGACAACAAAGGATGAGTTGGCTCCTTCAAAAAGTAGTAAATATATTGCATTGGGTTCAGTGTTCGAAATTTGTCAGATTATTTACATGCAGAAATGGAAGAGTGAATTGGATATTCTCTAAGGATATAGGAAACTTAATGGGTTTCAGAAATTGGATTTAGTGAAGAGTTATTCAAACCAACCATTCAAGACCAAGGACCTGGTCTGAATGATTGCATCAAAGGTGCAACTCATCTTTAACAATTGATGTTCCAAGGTTCATTGTAACATCATTGTTCAAAAACCAAATTTTCAAAATTCACTACAAGTTGTGAATTTCATTCTATGAAGTTTTTCTTTCTGGAAATATTGTATAGCTGTAGCTCATTATTGCTTACAAAACATACATTGGGCCAATCCTAGAATAATGTTCAAGTGTCTGGAATCCTTAATCATCCTAATCAGACATTAATACAATAGAGCAAGTTCAGAAGTAATCTACAAAAAAAAAGTCTTGCATTCTTTCCATAATAGAATATCCTATACTACTAGGCTTACTTTTGATAGTTTAGAACTGCGACATTTGCAGCCAGACATAGGTATTGCATACAAAATTGTATATAGTAACGCTTACTTGTAAATGACTTTTTAAGTTTTAATTGTAATCTAATGCATGTGAATAACCATTTTAAACTTAATGTTTCTAAACTTGTTTGTAAAAAAAATAGATTTTTGTAACAGAATTGTCAAAGTCTGGAATATCTTACCTGATTCAGTTGTCTCAGCCATTTACATTTATAGTTTTAATTCTAATTTAACTTCTGTAGATCTCACTCCATATTTAGGAGGTTCCCTAAGGGGGCATGTATATGTGCACTGGTATGCCTATCGTCCCTATCACATTCTGATTTTCTTATTTTTTTTGTTCAAATTGGTAATTTCTGTTCGACGAATAAAATTAGAAAAAAAATTGGCCCCAAACAGATTCAGAAATTTTATAACTTTTCTGCTACTAGCCATTGCAACTTCCATTCTATATATTGAGAAAGTTGAATGATGTCATTAGTTCTCTCCAGCCAATCAGATTGAGACTGACTGAAATTTAGTGAACTGGCCCTCAGTTCACCATCACAAATTCAGGGAAAATTTATTATAAACATTTGGGGAGACATTTTTAAAGGCATATAATAAGAAATCACATATTGCTCCAATAGTGTTTTCCTGTTGTCTGTGGTTGTGTGCAATTTATTTTTGAAAATTGAAGTATGGGAGGAAACAGTGACTTTCCCAATTTCTTTGTATTTTACAACAATATAACAATAAGTAATTTTTTCATATATTCCCTCAGGGTAAAAATGTAAATTCTTTTTTATTTTTCAGAGTCGGGCAGATGTATTTGCTGGGATCTTTCCTGATTTTACATCAGTAAAAAACTTGAAACATTGGAGTCAGGTAGAGTATGGTTAAAGTTTATTTTCAAGGCAAATCAAAATTGGTATGTCAAAGTGTTATACTTAACTAAATGGTTTGTACGAGTATAAAAGACATGAAAAATAGGGTTATTTGTTTGTTTATTGGTCATGCAGTTTTAACATTTTTTTACTTGCTTACATTTTTTAATAAAATGTTTTTTGATAGAGAATGCGGTTCCTTGGTCAAGGAACATGGTATCTAAGAGTCCTACTCCTTATAGCTGCCAAACCTAATAGTAAATTGTTTGATATTTGATTTTAAAAAGAAAATAAAATTGGTGTCAGTGTATTGTCTCTGGTTCTAGTGCTTTCCTGAGAAATCCAATTAATGTAATACAATAACCGCCTCATTACCATGAAAGTGTTTCTTTTACTGTTAGTGCTTTACAAATGATTTTTGCACAAAAACAGATGATTTCTAAACTGACATCAAGGAACCAGTGGTGAAATCTAAAATTTGTTACTACTGGTTCTGTGGGTGTGGCTTGGTGGTGGGGGTAATGTGACTGGGTGGGCATGGCCAATTTTTTTTTTACTTTTAAAACCATTTTTTACATGTAAAACCATGTAAAAAAATGCTTTCAAAAAGCTCTCACAATCCCAGCTGAGTTGCCTGATCGTCAGAGGGTTTTTAAAAAACCCTCTGATGATCAGACAACTCAGCTGGGATCGTCAGAGCTTGGATCGTCAAAGCCATTTAAAAGAAAAACAGTTTTTTTCTTTTAAATGGCTCTGACGATCCAAGCTAAGTTGCCTGCTGGGATCGTCAGAGCTTGGGTCGTCAGAGCTTGGCTTGTCAGAGGCATTTAAAAGAAAAAAAGCCTCTGATGATCGTGCGGCTCAGCTGGGCATGGGGGCAGGGCAGGGATTTTTGCTACCAGTTCTCCGAACTGCCCGCCGCCATCGCTACCTACTCGCCTGAGCCAGTCCGAACCGGGAGCATTTCACCCCTGCAAGGAACTCTCTCTCTCATCATTACCAAATAGAGAGGCCACTAAGAGGGGACTCTGGCAAGTTATATCTTAGCTGTGATTTCACTTTTTTGGCTATATAGCAATAATCATGCAATCAAAAGTTAGTATTACATGGCAGTAATTAAAATGTACAAAAAAGGTGGAAATCCATATGCTATTGTACAAAACTAAGTTATAAAACTAACACGGGTGGCTCTTTTGTACCCGAGTTCAACTTAAAAGCATATTTTTGCTTTTGTTTTTTTCTGATTATTTTAAAATGTTTTTATTGCTTTTGTTTTGATTGTACAACTGCTTAGAGTCACATTCTGAGACAGGTGGCTATATAAATTGGATAAATAAATGTGATAAAATCTAGGATATGTGGACATGTATGGGCCCATCTTGTCCTTTTTACCATAAAAGTAAATTTTCAAAATCTAGGAGGAAATTATTTCCGACAACCCTTCTTTCACTATACTTAGTTCCCATGTGAAAGTCTGTTCAGATATTCCTTATCTTCCCAAGGAGTTTTATTTTTGATTTAAGATTTCACATTACATTTGGGTTAGTTCCTTTTATTAGTTGTACATATTTAATGTTTTAAAATTTATTCTTTATGCTATTACCTTACATACTTAGTAAAATAAAAAAATAATAAAATAGTAAATATTATTTTTCACTGTTTACTGTTTTTACTCTTTTAAAGAACTTTGTATTTTTTTGTAATATTCCAGATAAAAGTGTTGTGCATACGTCTATATATCTATCGTGTTAATATTTCTTAGCATTAAGATTTCATGATTAATTTTTAAATTATAGATAATAGTTTCATTTCCTTTTAGATTATACGTTCTGGGGAATTTAAATATTATGACTATGGTCGTAAGAACAGGGAAGTATACAACACGGTAAGAAAAAGTATGTTTTTTTAAAAAAAAATCTAATGAAATATTATTGACTTCCTATAATTTATTCAACAGCTGTGAATACTTCCAAACTAATACACAATTAGTTGAAATGTGAGTTGTGCAACTTTACATATGTAAACATTTAGAGATAGATCTTTGTATCCTTCTCTATTTTGTATGGGGGAGGGGTAGCTATCCATCTTTCTGAAAACATCATCTTCTCCTGAGTCTCACAGAGATGAAGTTTCAAGTAGGCTGAGTCCAACTTCTCACTTTGATCTTACAGTTTCTCTAAGAGAAGCTGTTTCAGACCCTAGATTTGCTTTTTCCTTTCTATATCTCAAAACCAGTCAAAACTTTGTTCTTCTGTTTCTTCCTCTCTTGAACTCAAAGAAGTTATAGAGCATTCAAGTGATAGAGACCTAAAACCAGTGGTGGGTTGCTCCCGGTTCACACCGGTTCTATAGAACCGGTAGTAAAACCAGCGGGAGGCTCCGCCCACCGGTCCCAATGTCATCAGAATGCTTCTGCGCAGAAGAGCGCCCGCACGTGTGAGCAAAGCAAGTGCGTGCATGCGGCCCCATTGCGAACCCGTAGTAAAGGTAAGTAGAACCCACCCCTGCCTAAAACAGTAATGGTGGATGCTTCAGAACCGAAGGAGAGGATAGCAAAACCATAGCAAAAGCGACTTCTGAACAAAAAAATGTGGTGGTAACTGGTAACTGAATAGGACAGATGGGGATTCAGAAACATACATTCTCTGCTATGACTGTCTTTCTTGGAACTCCCAAGGCCAAGATGGCTGCTTTGCTGGCAAAAGATTTGGAAAGCTGTTAAAATCCAGCTTTTCTGTCAACATTCAGGGATGAGGAACAGTGTTGAGTGAATTACACTGGTATTTTTTTCCACATAATTGACAGAAAAAATACCAGGGATGAATGTTGAGCTATTGTGGAAATTTCTAACACATTTCAGAATTATATTTCTGTAATCTACTTTTTTCTACTTGTGGCATATATACTGTAAATATCCTAGATTTTTAAGACCAAGATAAGCCCTTGATAATCAAACAATTAATCAATCACACACTCAAAGAACAAAATAAAGATGTTTTGCTAGGAAAGCCCTCATTTCTTCCCTTGTAAATAATTTTCCAGCCTAGTTAAACTTCAGTATCCTCAAAGACAGCAAGACATTTTCCATGACTCCTTTAATAACAGCATGTGCTGTTTTGGTTGATGAGCCCTCCCCTTCCTCTGTTGTCTTGCAATCAAATGATGGTTTCTTAATTTTAGATGTTAACTTTCTCTAAACACCTGAAATTAAGACAGTATCATCTGGCTGCAAGACCATAGAAGAAGGAGATGGAAAGCTATTAATAGTTTTAATTTAATTTAATTTAATTTAATTTCCAATTTATATACCGCCCTTCTCCCTGAGGACTCAGGGCGGTGTACAGCCAAGATAAAAAACATAGGATACAAATATTAAAACATTTAAAAATATATATAAATTTTGGCCCGAAAGTTAAGAATCACAGACTAATTAAAAGAATTTAAAAATTTTAAAATTTTAAAAATTTCTTCTTAGGCCAACCCGGCTTGTTGAAAAAGATGGGTTTTCAGGGAACGACGGAAGGCATTGAGGTCCTGGATTCTTCTTATCTCCGGGGGCAACTGATTCCAGAGGGTAGGAGCCCCCACAGAGAAGGCCCTCCCCCTGGGGGCCACCAGCCTACATTGTTTGGCTGATGGCACCCTGAGGAGGCCCTCTCTGTGGGAGCGCACGGGTCGGTGGGAGGTCGTCGGTAGCAGCAGGCGGTCTCGGAGATAGCTAGGCCCTATGCCATGGAGCGCTTTAAAGGTGATAACCAACACCTTGAAGCGCACCCGGAAGACCACCGGGAGCCAGTGCAGCTCGCGCAGGAGCGGTGTTACATGGGAGCGCCATGTTGCTCCCATCACTACCCGCGCTGCTGCATTCTGGACCAGCTGGAGCCTCCGGGTGCTCTTCAAGGGGAGCCCCATGTAGAGAGCGTTGCAGTAGTCAAGGCGAGAGGTGACGAGGGCGTGAGTGACTGTGCACAAGGAATCCCGATCAAGAAAGGGCCGCAACTGGCGAATCAGGCGAACCTGATAAAAGGTCCCCCTGGTAACAGCCGTCAGATGTTCCTCCAAAGACAGCTGCCTATCCAGGAGGACTCCCAGATTGCGAGCCCTTTCAGTGGGGGCCAAAGACTCGCCCCCAATAGTCAGTGATGGAGTCAACTGACTATATCGGGATGCCGGGAGCCACAGCCACTCAGTCTTGGAAGGGTTGAGCCTGAGCCTGTTCCTCCCCATCCAGATCCGCACAGCCTCCAGGCACTGGGACATCACTTCAAGGGCATCGTTGGGGTGGCCTGGGGTGGAAATGTACAGCTGGGTGTCATCAGCGTACTGGTGGTATCTCACCCCAAAGCCACGGATGATCTCGCCCAGCGGCTTCACATAAATGTTGAACAGAAGGGGCGAGAGGACCGATCCCTGCGGCACTCCACAAATGAGAGGCCTCGAGGTCGACCTCTGCCCCCCTGCCAACACAAACTGCGACCGGTCGGAGAGAAAGGAGGAGAACCACCGCAACACGGTGCCTCCCACCCCCAACTCTTCCAGCCGGTGCAGCATGATACCATGGTCGATGGTATCAAAAGCCGCTGAGAGATCTAATAGGACCAGAACAGAGGAGTAACCCCTGTCCCGAGCCCTCCAGAGATCATCCGCCAACGCGACCAATGCCGTTTCCGTGCTGTGCCCAGACCTGAAACCCGACTGGAACGGATCTAGATAGGATGTTTCCTCCAGGAATTGTGGAAACTGTTGCGCGACCACACTCTCAACAACCTTCGCAATGAAGCGAAGGTTGGAGACAGGACGATAGTTAGCCAATATTGCTGGGTCCAGGGACGGCTTCTTGAGGAGAGGCCTCACCACCGCCTCTTTCAGGGCAGCGGGGAAGTGACCCTCACTCAACGAAGCATTAATGACGCCCTGGAGCCAGCCTCGTGTAACCTCCCGGGAAGCCAGTACCAACCAGGAGGGACACGGGTCCAGTAAACATGTGGCCGCACTAAGTCTCCCCAAAATCCTGTCCACATCATCGGGAGTCACAGCATCAAACTCCTCCCAGATAACATTCTCAAGACTGTTCCTCGTCACCCTGCCCTGATCTACCCAGTCAGAGTCCAAATCCCCCCGGATCTGAGCGATTTTGTCATACAGGTATTGTCCGAAATCCTCCGCCCTGCCTTCTAAGGGATCCTCCCGCACTCCCAGATGGAGCAGGGCGCGGGTCACCCTAAACAGGGCGGCCGGACGATTCCCTGATGACGCAATAGAGGCGGAAAAGTAGTTAGACTTTGCCGTCTTTATCGCCACTAGGTAGGTCTTAATATGCGACCTTACCAGTGTTCGATCAGATTCAGCGAGACTGGCCCTCCAACCGCTCTCCAGGCGTCTTTTCCGGCGCTTCATTTCCCTCAGCTCCTCAGTAAACCAAGGAGCCGCCCGGGATCGGCATCGGGTCAGAGGCCGCAAAGGCACAACTCGGTCCAAGGCCCCACCAGCCGCCCGATCCCAGGCGGCTACCAGGTCCTCGGCCGAGTCATGTGCTAGATCCTCAGGAAATGGCCCAAGCTCCGTCTGGAACCTATCAGGATCCATCAGGCGCCTGGGGCGGATCCATCTAATTGGGTCCGCCTCCCTGCGGCGAGGGGTCGCGGTTCGAAGATCTAGGCGAAGGAGTGAGTGGTCAGTCCATGACAAGGGTTCCATGTCTATATCCCCTATAACAAGACCACTCAACCACTGGCCAGAGACAAAAATCAAATCCAGAGTGTGACCTCCCCTGTGAGTAGGGCCGTGAACTAACTGGGTCAGGTCCATGGCCGTCATGGAAGCCATGAACTCCCGAGCCACCTCAGACGTTTCACCAACGGATGGCAAGTTGAAATCACCCATGACTAAAAGCCTGGGTGTATCTACTGCCACCGTGGCTATCACGTCGAGTAGCTCAGGTAGGGCTGTTGCCACGCGGCAGGGAGCCAGGTACGTAAGCAACAAGCCCATCTGAACCCCACGGCCCCACCTCACAAGGAGGGACTCACATCCGGCTATCTGAGGCACAGTGGTCTCCCTCGGATCCAGATCCTCGTTAATAATAACCGCCACCCCCCCGCCCCTCCCCTGGGCCCTCGGCTGATGGAATGCTCTGAAGCCTGGTGGGCACATTTCAACCAGAGGGACGCCACCCTCCGGGCCCAACCAGGTCTCCGTAATACCCGCCAGGTCCGCTCCTCCCTCTTGTATAAGATCGTGAATGAGGGGGGCCTTATTAACCACGGACCTGGCATTGCATAACATCAGCCGAAGGCCCAGATCCTGAGTGTCTAAGCCACCTAGTCTCCGAGAGGAGCCATGGGGACCGGGGCACGCAATTGCTCTCAAACAGCGAGTGCGAGCCCCCAACACATGATATGGTCCTCTGCTCCCGCCATATCTGCCCCTCCCATCTACCGTGCAGATGGTACAGACCTCATAGGTATCGTCCCCCATCTCTTTCCCAGTCCCTCGACCAACACCTCCCAAATCGTTACCCTGTGCCGGGCTCGGCTCTGACCCTGGTGGATTTCCCCCCCCATCCCCCAGAGTCTTCTTCCCAATTTCTCTAGAAAGATCATTACAAACCCCCCTCCCAGAACCCCTTAAAATCTTTAAAAAATTCCCTAAAAAACCCCACAAATTCTTCCTTGCTCCATGCCATCTCTCTGGACTCCAAAGTCCGTCATCGAGATAGGCCCTCGATAATGTGGAGGGCCAAACCTGCGAGAGGGGAGAATCTCGCAGGGCAAGGAGTTCCGACACCGAATACATATCGTCATCAGGGGAGACAAAGTCCAAGGGAAGGGAGTACTGCTGATGTTACAGGCATAGGGAAAAATTCTAGTCCATGGTTAGGCCATCAAGCCCATTGTCCTCTCACGACAATGGCCAAGGAGGTGCATATCCTTCGACCACGGAGGTTTCCAGGGCAGCCATGCTCTCACCTAGGCCACCTATGGAAACTCTGATGGAAATCCGGGCGTGGGGATAGCCATAGTCCGCCTCCCACTGGCCTTATGTCCATAGAACCAGTATCCCTCCTGGGATTAGTAGCATCCGGGAGACCAAGTATCCTGCTCAGAAGGAGGTTTAAGTTCGTAAATTCACATCGAAGAGATTTTACATGGCAGGGAGTTCAGACAGGCTAGATGTAAAAGGGGGAAAATTCGGAATAATTCAGCAGGCCAAAGTAGATGGGTAGTTGTAACCGTAGTAAGGCCCATAGGCCTAAACTCGGTCCAAAGGATGGAAGAGGGAGGGGAAATTCAAGCCGCATAGGTTTGTAGTTCTTTTCCGACCCCTGTAAATCCCTCAACCATTATCTGATGGATAATGCTGCCCAATTTCGTTCCCCCCCCCCATCCAGCTTGTCCTGGGGGGGGTGTCTCTGGGTCCCCATGGAGGTAACCCTTCCCCCAAGGGTCCAACACTCTCCAATCTCCCAGAGCTAAGTCTAAGGCTGCTGCTGAAGAATCCTATGCTGTAATTCAGGTCCGCAAGCCGCTGGGAGCCGCCCCGACATCAGCTGCCATCACCGCCGCCGCCGCCGCCGCGGCTGCCGCCGCCACCATCGTCGCCGTCGCCATCGGCCTCCCCACGGACGCCCCCAGCCGCCCCCTGCCTCTAGATCTTCCTCAAGGCATCCAGGGGGGTGGGGAACCTCCGTAGGGGCCTCAAACGTCGCCGTCGTCAGGGGGCCGCCACCGCCGCCGCCGCGACCGCCCGTAGCCGCCGGTGCCAGTGCCGCCCCCGCAGGCCGCATCCCGCACGCCCTCACCCGCCAGCGCTTCAACGTCGTCCTCCTCGGAGCTGGGATGGTCCGGAGAGCTAACAAAGCTCTCAATGGGATCCCCAGGTACTCTTTTTCCCAAACGGGGGTCATAGCTGTTCAAATGACCCCCCCGAAGTCCCCCCGAGCCGAGGCATCGCCCCCCAAGGATCCGGAGTTCAGCGCCGGAACGCCATCTTAGACATGCGCAGAAGAGGAAGAACCTTTTAAGCAAAGCTATTAGTGACATCCTCTTGATATTGCTGTCCTCTTGCTTTCTGATGCCATCGGTTAGCAATTAGTCACCTACTCATCATATCTTTGCCGTCATTGGCAGATAATTCTGACAGATGATTTCACGATGAGTTTAACCAGCTATCAACATTCCAGGAATCCATCAGACAACTTCTTTGCACAGTGGATGATTCTCAAATCACATTCTCTTTTTTCTTTTCATCCATAGACAACACCTCCCTTTTATAAAATAGAAGACGTTCATGTGCCAGTAGCCATGTGGAGTGGAGGAAAAGATATTGCTACAAAAAGAAGAAATATTGAATCATTGATGACTCGAATCACTTATTTAGTTTTCTATACAGATATTCCTGACTGGCAACATTTTGATCCTATCTTGGGTTTGGATGCCCCACAACGCTGTTATCCCGATATTCTTGAATTGATGCAGAAACACAAGCATTAATATCAGTGTTGGAATCTCTGGAGAAAACAATATTCTCAGCCGCTTGCCTGTTTCTTGAAATCTTAGCATGTAGCTTTCTAAATGAAATGAGATTATTAGAAAATAAATTATTCATACCCTTTACATAATTTCCAAGATTAAAGTAAACATTTCATGTTTTCTAGTTTTTTCTCTAGTTTGCTACTTTTATACTTGTTTAGTTCATTGCTTTGCTTGGTTGCTTATTTTACAGAAATGCATGTAAATCAAAGTTTCCAGAGTAGATTAGCTGATATATTATTAACGTCCTCTATGTATATGTAGATAGTTGTTCCAAGGTACCTGTATCTGATTTTTCCCTCCTCAAATGCTCTATTCTGCTGTACTCAATGTGGCTGAACAAAACCTTTTGTTGTAGGAAAATAATTTTACAGACTAGGTTTCTTTTATTTCATTATTCTAGCTAAACTGGCACTTTAAACATGTATTATACCTATAAAGATATTCCTTTAGTCTGCTTTACTGTATTTTACTAAGAAAGGTAACAGAGTGGTCTGCCAGTATAGATGCTGGACAACATAAGGCATTTTTTAAAATTCAAATTCTCTGCATTAGAAGCTTTGCTAATAATGTTATGCTTTGTAATCCAAGTGGTGGAGTGGGGGTGTAACAATGGGGCAAATTACGGAAGCAGCAATGAGCTGTTAAACATGCATTTGTACATCCGTTTTGAAATCATCCACACTATCGGAGAGAGATTGTCTGAGCCAGAGGAGGAGTTAAGCAGGGAATTAGTCTGTAATCTTTACACAGGTACAAGAGAACAAAGTCTGACACCTCCCCTTGATTGCCATTAAACCTTATTTAGTTTGGCCAGTTTAGTTTCCCAAACTGCCAGTCTGGGAAGATTGCTGTGAAGTAGACACTGAACAATAAAGTAGTTAATTTGAACTCTTCCTACGTAGGTTTGTTTGTTGAACCTAACACATACAAACAAAAAAGGTGGCGCTTGTGTTGTGATTTCACAGTTCTCATTTTGACCAAGGTCTCCAATTCTGTTTTCTGAAGAAAACAACTCCAGGCCTAATGACCTTTCTGGTCCTTATAACTGAATATATTTTACCTCTTTTACCCATCTTCATAAAACTCCTTCTCAATATCTCAGTGTTACTCAATAACAATATTAGGAGAATATCTCAATGTTGCTTATTGATATTATAATTCTATAACTAGGAACAATGATAATCTTGTATCCTCACATTCTTTCTAATGTGAAACAAGTCTCTAAATTCAAAGCAATGTACACCTAGATAATGAAAGTTTGATTTTTGTTTAATTGAGAGCACTGGGGATGGATGTTGCCCTTATAATGTTTGCTTTGTTTCCATAATCTGTCTCTGTTCATCATAGATGCAAAATCCCCATAAACAGGGAAGTATCTCTGATACATATGGAATTATCTTCTATTTATTTATTTTATTTATTTTATTATATTTCTGTACCGCCCTTCTCCTGCGGGACTCAGGGCGGTGTACAGCCAGGATAAAACATAGCCTATAAAATTTAAAAACATTTTAAAAAACAATTAAATAATTTTGGCCCGAATTTAAAACAACCCAATTAAAACCGAAATTCGATTAAAAAACTGAGAGGATGGGACCCTATTAATGGAGGGTCACACAAAACAGGATGAAGATAAGATACTCCAATCTTCTTCCCCTTCCATGGGCCTAGGGCTATATTTCTGAAGAGGTATGGAAAGAATAAGGAAAAGGGAAGACTTGCATGATTAGAAAATGAATGAGTATTGTGAATGGTTACTTTGAGATAGTCCCAGACCCACTAATTCTTAGCTGCCCCCTTTCCTACCTTCTACTAAGAATTTGTACCTTAACAATTAGTTTTTATCTCATTGGTAATCTCAAAATAGCATAGCATTTTGAACATTCAAATAACATTCAGCTAATCTATATGGCCTCTTTCCCCCACCCCTCCTTATGTTTACTACTGCATTGACAGGCTGATTATGAGCAATCCTACCAAGGATTAAATCATCTGATTTGCTTTCATAATTTCTAACATTGTAATAATATATCTGGAGCATAATAAAATACTGAGCTCTTAAACTCACTGTCTCATTCACAGTGGATTGCATTCTAGTCCTTTGGTATCAATTCTTCAAAATGTTTATGGAACAACAAAGTGCTATATGAAAGAGCAGAGACATGCTCTTCAACCCAACTCCAAAATTAAATGATGGCTTCCATTTTGCTATAACATTGAAAGAGGGTTGTTGTTTTTTTAATGGTTCTCTTAATGGAAAGTCAAAAGAGGTGAAGTGTGTAATAGAACATTTAAAACTTTGGAAGCAATGCAATGTCAACTGTTAGGAAAAGAACCTAGCAAGGAAAAAAAGTGAAGGTCACTTTTTTTTAGGGAAAGTCACAAAAAATACACAAGCTTTTTTTCCCTGTTTAATAAAGTCTTGAAATCGTGTGGGTGAAAGACAGTGAGTCAAAAGCAAGAGCTGAAAAATGAGAAATTATTTGTAGATCTGATCATCATATTCGCATTCTTCCTGGTGTGGCTTTCTTTCTTTCTTTCTTTCTTTCTTTCTTTCTTTCTTTCTTTCTTTCTTTCTTTCTTTCTTTCTTTCTTTCTTTCTTTCTTTCTTATCTATCTAATTTATAAGGCCACCCGCTTTACCAGAAGAGACTCGGAGTGGCATACAACAAAGCTGAAACTGTGAGTAAATACATAAAATCACTTATCATAAATTATAAAAAACATATCAGGACTTGGAAGTTCTGTCAGCAATCCAGCATCTGTAACAGTGATGAAATGGAAAATGGAAGACCAACAGTCACAAAAAGAGATATTTAAAATGGTACTGAGTCAAGCAGAATAAAATGAAAATGAATATAATAGGAGAAATACCTACTGGTCTGAGTCCATAGGAACTGCCACAGTTGTAGAGAAAAGACCCTTGCTATTTAGCAATTTGTAGCCAGTGCCAAGGAAAACCAGAAACTTGCTTTTGGAGCCAGTGCTGGAATTACTGAAAAAGTAATAAAACCTGCAAAAGACAATTTAAAAAGTAACAGTTAGAACATCTATCTGTCTTTCTGTTTCTATAGGTCTTGCCAATGCTTGGATTTGGATATCAAATACTAGTAAATTCCTTGATGTTCCTATTCATTGTTGTTATGGTTGGAAAAGTAAACCATGCACTCCTACACATCTCACTCTTGGACTTTGGTAGGGCTAATTCTCAGGACTGTGGTACAAGATAGCACTGTAATTAAGTAGGACAGTGTATTTATCTCCTCAAATTTCTAATACCTAGGAGAATAAGGGATGGAGAGATATTTCTGTCTCTCCCATTCTTCCTGTATTCATTAATTATTTGATGGATTTTGCCAGTAATGCAAAGAAACAAGTTCAGACCTCTTCAAGGCCTAATCTAACACGTGGCCAAGAACAGAGGTGGGTTTCAGCAGGTTCTGACCAGTTCTGGAGAACCGGTAGTAAAAAAATTTGAAACCCACCACTGGCCAAGAATGTTTTTTGCTATAGTAATCCAGAAACCTTCATATAGTTCCAGGTTCCTCCATTTCTGCTGCCTTTGCATTCTAATTATCCCGTATACTTGATTGATATTGTATTTAGCATGTGTTGGCATTTTCTCAGTGTCTTCCATCTCTATTTCCTAGAGCTGCATACATTTATATAACACTGATATTCACTCTTTCTGTGTGATTTATTTTTTCTCCCTTTCAGCTGTGTTTGATTCTTGGAGAATTCCTGCGCAAGTCACTGCATTTTTCTTGGCAAGGTAGTTTTTTTTCTATAAGTAGTTTGTCATTGCTTCTCTCTTAGGGCTGAGGTAAAGTGACTGGCCCAATGTCACCCAGCAGGCAGAATTAGAACTCACTGTCTCTTGGTTTTTAGCCTGATACTTTAATCACTACTGCAAACTTGTTCTCATACATGAATTCTCATTTATTGGGTTATGGCTGTTTCAGCAATGCCTGTTTGAATATTGTTTTCATTTGATTCCATTATATCCAGAATAGCTATATATTTCTTTCAACATTGAGACTGATGACTATGATAATCGCATCACATCAAGCCAAACTTTGTACAAAATTCAGGAACAGAAAATGCATTGCTCCCCTGTGTGTATCAAACCAGGACAGTTATCCCAGCCGGACATAGTATAAAAAATATGTTTCAAATGAAAAAAACAGCATTGTTTATAAAGTTGTTGTGACTCCGACCCCCGACCCATCTTATCGGAGGGAGAAGACTCCAAAAATGAAGGAGAGGAGTTGGCAAGGCCTTCCTCTCCAGGACCCTCCTCTCTGGCAATGCCTCGGGTGTCTTCCGAAGGAGAAGAGATAGGCCAGGAGCCAGGCACTTCCGAGCAGCCGCAGTTAGACAGCAACGGAGATAAGTCTTGGCTGGATCCCCGCCAGCGTTGGAAAGACAAGCGCGCACAGCAAAGAAGGAGGCATGCCAGAGATTAAGGTGAGTCACTGGATCACATCCCACAGGGGATACCATGGGTGTGGTGGCCATTCAGGCTTTGTGACGGACAAAATGGAAAGCTAGCAAGTCATTCTGCATTTCTGGAACTTTGTTATATGCTCTGCTTGGATTGATTTTTTGGACTGGACTTGATTATTCTTTGGCTTTTGTGGACTTTGATGTTTTCAGTCGGAGGAGATAAACCTCCCTTTGTAAGTAAAGACTGTTGGCAAGCAGCCACTGGGTTGCTGCCAATTCTGTTATCAAAGGAAATTCTTGTCTGTTAGTTTATTTTAACTCTTGGTCGACTGCTGAAACCGAAGAGGTTGTAGAAAAAATGCTTTTAGAAGCCTCTGACGATCCCAGCTGAGCCACGCGATCATCAGAGGCTGATTTTTTTTTTACTTTTAAAAGCATTTTTTCCGCTGAAGAGGTAGAAGAAATGCTTTTAAAAGTAAAAAAAAAACAGCCTCTGCTGATCGCACGGCTCAGCTGGGCATGGGGGGGTGGCAGGGATTTTT